TCACAGAAAATGTCACTGTTAAAAAATTTTAAACAGAAAATGTTGTTTTTGATAACACATTCAGCAGATAATGCTACTGTTACTAACATTTTCAACAGAAAACGTTACTGTTAATAACATTTTCCCCAGAAAATGTCACTGTTAATAAAATTTCCCACACGAAATGTCACTGTTAATTTAATTTTTAGGTTTCAATGTCACTGTTAATAACATTTTTAGCAGAAAATGCCAGTTTTAAAAATATTTCTTAATGTTTATAACATTTGCATAACTGTTATTAACATTTTCACCAAAAGTCTTCCTTTTTCCCCGTTATTTTTTTTTTTTTTTTTTTTTTTTTTTTTTTTTTTTTTTTTTTGGACCCACTCTTTATTTCCCATGCCACCTACAAAAATTGTTTGCAATTAAATTTATGATGTTACTGGTAAATTTCTTACTAGTTTCTCACATAACTCTTATCCTTCAACATATGTATGTATCTAGATGTCTATGTAAACAATTTTTACAAATGAGCCTAACATAGAGAAAGATGCCAGAAATTTAATTTTTAAGAAAATGCAATTTCAAATTATAAATGTAAATTTACAAGTACACAGACACACATAGATTCTCAACTGCAGATAACATGTGTATGTGTAAATAAAGCAAGTGGTTTTCTTTGAAGTACTATCTACCAAAAACGAAAAAATTAAAACGAATATAAATGAAACTCATAAAGGTAAGAAGTTGTTCTCGGCTAAAATATGAAAATCCTATTAAAATGTTAAATGGAGAAAATTACTTAATTGAATTGATGAAACTCTTTAAGAGGAAAAAAAACAACAACATGAAACGATGTAATATGTCGATTAATTAAGATACAAGGCTGTATAATGAATAGCAAATGTAATTTTTTAATGGAAGGAGGAATAAAAAAACTGTAAAGAGGAAATGTAAAAGACATTATGGAAATATAGTCATGAAAAGAGAGCTATGGAAACAAATAATTTATACGGAACTTTTGTTGTTGTAGCTTCTCATGCTGTTTTTATACAATTGATTCAGGTACAAGACGTTGGCCGAGTGGGACATTTCGGTGATTTCGGTTCGTAAATCCTGCTTTCCAAGAAACTTTTTTTTTTGAAACTTTAGTGGTATTTATTGCCGTCTATCTAAGAGTTCTCTTTTCAGGTTTATTGACCTCTAAACCTTTCCAATAAAATATTTTCAAAATCTCCCACATTGTCTTCTTTGTTAAAATTACCCTGAAAAAATATTTATGATAACCAGTGTTACGCTCAAAATCCTTAAATAACTGTCACACAACTTTAAGTTATTTCAAAAAGTTTAACAGAGTATTTGTTTCACCCTCTTCTCACCTCCCCCGCTTTTTGTCCTTACTTTTGGATGTGTAATTTAATCTTCTTAATTGAAAGTGTTTACGATTACTTTGTCATCATCGTTATCATCGTTACAAAAAAAAGAAAGAAATAAAAACCCGTCTAAGGATCCAATGAGAACTGAAACAAGAACGTCTCCAAGGAATGTCAAGGACCCAACTCAGCCAACAGAAACGCATACACACAAACAGACACACAGCCATTCAAATAGCATCAAGTGGCGTTTTTCTTGCAATAATATTAACGAAACTATTTTTTGTTGTTTTTGTAGTAGTAGTTGTTGGCTGCTGCCGCCAATGAAAAAAAGAGTTGGAATGAGATTGAATTGCCAAACAATGTGGGCTGGGAAACTCGAAGATGCCACTAGGAGATTGAGAAGGAATAACAATGGCATTTGGTGGACTGAAAAGTTCAGGAATATAGAGGACAGAGTTTTAAAGTTCGAGGAGAATTTCCGCTTATGTTAAAAAAGTTTTGGGCTTATTTTAGAAAATCTGCTAAAAAAAATCATGGATTTAAATACCTTCTGCAGGCTGAGAACTATTTTTGGAAAATGAACATATTATGATCTCCTCTGATTTAATTTTTAAACCAGAATATTTTTTTTTTACCCAAAAATTGTTTCAATAATGGCAAATCTCTTTTAAATAATCTCAATTTCTCCCTTTTTCCTTTCATAAAAATTTGGAGCTCATAGCTACATCCTATGAAATCTTAAAATATGGCAACCTTCCCTTAACATCAGAAATAACCCTTCCTTTCACCCATGAAATACTTGCCAATCCATACCATATCTCTTCGCCGGTACTTTTCTCGGATTTCATGCGAAATAAAGCCATAAACGAGAAACGTCTTTAACACCAATACCACCACCACCATAGCCAAAGTCATTTCGAAATATATTTCAATTTCTTTTATGACAGTTTATTTGCTACTCTGTTGCTTTTTATGGCGTGTACTTTTTTTGTTTTGCCTCGCTCGCTGCTCTGTGCTCCACGGAGAGTTGTTACTGCAAATGGTGTCACTATTGCAAATGCTATAAGTTTTGTCTTCTTTTGCAGTTTTTTCCATTGCGATTTTATTTTTTTGTTTAGTTTTGATAATCATAAAAATTAATTTTTCAAATAAAACTTCAAAATCCCAAGACATGATGAGATGAAAGAAAAACCAGAGATAGAGATAGAGAGAAAGATTCATTGACGTCATTGATAAAAGAAAACCCAATACGAATACTCAAATGCAAATACGGCTAAGGTATCTGGAGGATAGAATGTTTTTTTAAATATAATTTCCTGATACTTTTTTGAAAATCGCTTAATATCACAATTATTTAATGTGTGCGTATAAGTAGTGTCATTACTAATACGCTACCAAGTCCGCTCTCTTCAACCGTAATTGTCTAAAGCCATAAATAATTGTATATATGGGTAGTATACATGACGACAGATATCATACGCCACCGATGACCTTTTTTAGGAATCTCATGTAATAGATAAAACGTTTGGAATTGGATGGGCCCTATTTAAAAATCATTGTCATATATATAAGAATTCCAGCCAGAATTATAAACTATGACTTCGTTCATTTTATTAATAATTTTCTTAAAAAAACACACACAATTTCAATTAATTTTTTAAGGAATATCGATTGGGTATAGGTTGTCATCTGGCGTATAATTAGTGACAACATTTATACGCCCCAACTTCCTACCTCTATTTGCGTCGTTCCCTTAATACCATGACCAATGTCATTAATAATTTTTCTAAATAGTCTTCATATTGTCGTTTTAAGATATATATTATTATTTAATACTAAAACTTCACAACAAAGGCCGTATTGATTTTGATAACAAGAACTGCTCCACAAGCACACTTTAAATCTACGGAGCAGGTTTTGTGGGGGCTATCACAGATACTTCCTAAACCCAGAAATCCCTAAAACCCAAAAATAAAAATATCCTATAGAGGTCGTATGCATGATGACAGAAATCATACGCCACCAATAAACTCTCCAAAATATACCTATGATTTTAATGACAGACTGGGAATCAACCAATCCGTTTTACTAACCACCACAGTACTTCGACTAGGGTTTCCAAATAACCCCAGAAAAAGAATTTTCTACTTGTATAATTTGCTATACATGTTGATAACAAAAATACTCCTCCTCACATATAGTCTAGTGGCTTTCCAAGCAAATCAACAGAAAACTAATATTATTTATTTATTCATGAGCCTGAAATAATAGTTCCGAAAATACTAAGCACACTTTAAATATGCGAAGCAGGTTTGTTGGGACTCTCATGGATACTGGCTTATTTTTAAACTCAGAAAACCCTTAACCCAAAAATAATAATCTCCCTTAGGCGTCGTATACATGATGACAGAAATCATACGCCACCAACAACCTTCTCCAAAAACACCTATAATTTTAATGACAGACTGGAAATCAGCCAATCTGTCTTCCTATTCATCAAAGTACTTCGGCGGGGGTTTCCAAAAACCCCTGAAAAAGAATCTTCAGTTTGTAGCGTATAAGTGATGACGGCAATCATACGCCATCAGTCAACTATTTCATTAAAAATGACGATGGAAATGTCTTCAAAAAAATGCTGACATTTCGAGAAAAAAATACTGAACATTTTGTATTCATATATTCTAGTGGTTTTCCATACCACAAAATATATAGCACACTTTAATTCTGCCAATCAGGTTTGTTGGGACTCTCATAGATACTGGCTTATTTTTAAACTAAGAAAACCCAAAATCCAAAAATAATAATCTCCTATAGGGGTCGTATACATAATGATAGGAATCATACGCTACCAATAACCTTCCGAAAAAAACACCCATGATTTTAATGACATACAGGAAATCAGGCAATCTATTTTCTATTAATCAAAGTACTTCGGTTAGGGCTTCCAAAAAAAAAACCTGAAAAATATCTTCTGCTTATGGAGTATAAGTTATGACAGCAATCATACGCCAGCAATTACCTTTTTATTGATATATGCCGCTGATATTATTTTCAAAAAGTGCAGATATTCGGAGAAAGCTCTGAGAATTTTGTATTTTTTTCCTGATTTTTTTCATCGATTAAATCGCGTTTGTAATACAGATAGCCTGAAAAAGGCCTAATTGTGCCTAAGGCATGGCGTATACGTATTGATAACAAGTATACGCCGCAAAAATACATATCCATAGATTTAATACTGACAGGCAATCAAATTGTTTTTCTAATTAGCCACAATTTTTATTTGACAGTGAAATTTCCCAAAGCTCAAATGAGGCGTATACGTGTTGACAGCAATAATACGCCACCAATAATGCTTAACAAATAAATAAACATTAGTTAAATAATTCCTATTTTTTTTTAAATTCTTTAAATTTTTAAATAAAATTTCTTTAAACAATTTAAAAATATTTATTTATATATTTTTCACAAAATTTTATAACAATTTCTTAAAATTAATTCACAACACGTTCCTTATATAAGTAGAAAATTTTCGCTTTTTTAATTCGTCAACAATAATTAATATATTTTTTATAACTATTACTCATTTCAGTGTATATTTTTTCTATAAAAATATTATCCTCCTCCATCTCCCCTACCAAATTCTACACTTTTTCTCTGGATTCAATGGCTGCATTGCTTCACATTTATAGACATCAGCAAATTCCATAAAATTGCCCAAAACATTATTCACGCGCTCCTGATGGCTGGCATGTATGCGAAAATTACTCTCTCCATTGGCTCCGGCACCACTAATGCCACACCAGGTCTGGGCAAAACTTAAGAAAAATAATTTCATATCATTTTGATCGAACGACTGATCCATTTCATAATCCAATAGCGTCTCCAATGCCAATCGTAGACCCTCCGAATCGGCAATATTTTCATTAATGGTCGAGTGGCCATCCGCATAACGATCATCGAGGTAACAATTAGATTGTATGCCAAATTTAATAATGGCTTTGGGACCCCAGCCATTATTCGTGTTGCCATTTTTACCATAATTCATGCCATCATAATCGAAACCATGTAGCAGTTCATGGGTCAGGATGTACACAAAACCTCCATAAATTTTGGCCGGTTTCATGCAACGATCATAGAGGGGAGCCGTCAATATGCCAATCGGCAATTCAATGGCATTTTTCTTCAAACGATAATAGGCATTCACATCCAATGGACCATAGGATTGATCGAAATATAGGGATGATAAAGATAGCTCCGGATCCATTACAATTTCCGTTACATCGCTAACCATGTGGGGTATCAGCTGCTGCAGTTGTTGTTGATTTTTAAATTTCGTCAAGGCAATTAAATTTAAATCATAAATATCGGAGATTTCCAAATCTTTACCACCAATACTTGAATTCTCTTCCAATTTTGGTAACAGCAAACGCATGTTACGAATTTTCTCTATGCTCAGATTTTTCGAATAGACATCCCGCTCAAATACCGAGGTGGAATTTATCAATTTTTCAAATTGTATTTTAAGTTTGTTGAAAATTTCCTCCAAATGTTTTTGAGTTTCGACGATAAATTCCTCTTCATCCCCATGGTGTTGTAGCCTCAAGAATATCCGGGTCAATTCTGAGGGCATAAAATCATTCAGCTGCCTTAAACATTCTTCCTTTTGTTTAAAATAACCCTCATCATCGTGAAGATTCACTTTGAAGTTCACCAAAAATTGTACCAAAAAATATTTGGCAATTGTTTCGATTTTGGTTTTGTCCAGTAGACGCACAAGGTTCCGCAGATAATTTTTATCCGCCACAATTAGCATTTTTTGTTCGAAATTCCGTGGCAACTGGAAATCTTGTAGCAATGTTTTGAAATACTTCATTAGGTCCACTTGAGGCAATTCCCGTGCCAACGATGCCAAAGTTTGAGGTTCTTTTAAAATCATCACATCCTTATTGTTGACCAGGGTCAATAGGGATTGTTCGAATTGCACAACTTCATTGGCAATTAAATTGGATTTCCTTACCCTAACACCCAAGTCCATCATTAACATTTTTATATAACGTTGATAGAAGAAAACGGATTCTTCATCATAGGTACTATCCGATTGTTGGGCCTTGAGTAGTTCAAATGAAGGTGGCATTAGATAGACAATCAGCTGTTGAGAACTTTGCCAATTCGGTTGGACTAGGGTACGAATCAGCGTCTGGCTACCATAACGCCGCATATGACCAGCCACATATTCCCAATTGAAATTCGTTTCCATACGGCTGGCAGAGAAATTGCTGTGCAGTATTGGCCAACTGGAACTGAAATTACCCAAAACATCGGTATACAAACGTATGGCCAATTCATCTTGGGTCCGAGATCTTAAAGTTCGTTTGTCCAGACAGGATTTGTAAAATTTCACCACACTTTCTGAGGCCAGATCACTATTTGCCTGCCTTCCCACGTCCTCCTCCTGCTCCTCTTGGTTTTCAGCTTCATCCAAATACTGCATAAGTAAATATTTATTTTGGGCCTTAATGGCGGTCAGGGTGTCGGTGGGTTTCATAAATCTCAGCTGATGTGGCACCCGCCAATTGCCACAGGCATAATTCCAAAAGTCATCACAGGGCTGCTCCAGCAGATCCATATAGTCGTCCATTTGAAGTTTAACACTGGGCCAATAGGTGGCATTACATTTTGGGAATTGTTGTTTGCTGCTCAATGGTGTCTGTGTTGTGGGAGGTACGGCTCGAGCGGCCTGAAGCATTATGGAGATGCCAATAAACCACAAAATATGGCTAAAGTTGGAAGGCATTTTCTTTTCTGCTTATTCTTTAGCAAACCGCAAATAATTTCCGATTAACACCTCTCCCAAGCTTAATTAAAATAAAACTAAATCGTTAATCAATTTGAAGCCAGTTTTGAAATATTATACAAAAAATGATTTCCATTTCTCTCTCCCTCTCTTTTAAATTCTATTCGTTGCTGATAAGCCCTTCTCTGTGTAATTTTTGCAATACCCAGTTCAATTCCAGCCAATAATCTGTTTTTTTTTTTTTTAATTTTTTGTAATTTCTGATTTACGTTGTAATTTCCATCAATAATAAAAAATAATAAATTAAAACACACTAACACACAATTTGTTATTTGAAATGATAACACCATTTGAGAGTTCTCAGTTTAGGAAAGGAATAAATAAAATACTTGATGAAATAAATAAAAAAATATTTTATATTATTTATTGAAGAGCTCTCTTGAGGAGAGAAGTTCAAACGCCGCGTATTGAAATAAACAAACATTTGTATTACTTAGTTTTTTTTTGGAGAACTGATAAGATCAGTGTGTTGGGTAAGACAACAAATGACAACACAGTGTTTGGAAACCAAATAAAAGTAAATATTTTGAATTTCTTATGAAAGTTTAAAAATAAAATTAAATATGTGGAATTTTGAATTTCCTATGAACATATTTTTTATTCAGAAATAAATTGTAGTTGAGGCTATAAAGAAGACATATTAAAAATTCCAAAATGTTGGTCCTGACATGTGATGTGAGTGAGGAAGTAATAGAAAATTCATAATTTTTCGATAATCAAATATGTTTGTTTAATTAGGTGGCGTATACGTAGTGACAGTAATTATACGCCCAGGAGTCTTGAAATAAATTTAAAAAATTATTCAAAAATATGTTACGTCCTCCAAAATATATTTAAAAAATCATAGCTTAAAGGCCCTAAAACCGCTGAAAAAAAATTCTTCTTTTTCTTAAAAAAATTACGAAAAATAAGTATATGAAATTTATTTAGGTCCCGACATATATTTTTAAATTCTGGTTTAAGATATTACCAATATATTTCACAAATCTGAAAATCAAATCTATAATTCTTTGAAAAAAAAACATTGTCGTATGAGCTACAACAGCACTTATACGTATAAGTGGTGATAGTAATTATACGCTGCAGAGTCCTAAAATAAAAATTGTCTAAAATATTTGTAACAATTCTCTTTTACGTTTTCCAAAAATATTTCCAAAATCCCATAGGTCCTCCGGAAATATTTATTGGTAATATCATATGAATATTGGTTGGGTGCTCAAAATATATTTAAAAAAATACAATATATTGACATGTCTATAAAAATCCTAGAACAAAAATGTTGTCTTACAGATTTTAGGGCATTTAATAAATACTTAAACAAAATATTTTATCCCGGAACTTATAGTCCTTGGAAAACATTCGCATGTGAATTCCATCTTTGTAAGAAAAAATATTTCTTAAAAATTAGCGATTATGACATCGATAATCCTTGAAAAAGCTTTCAAAAAAAAAGTAAACTTCTACCTCCAACCAATTTATGAAATATCAACCCCGTAGCGTATACGTTGTGGCAAAACTTATACGCCCCTGAACTTTGCATTTAAAAAATATTTGCCAATTTGGTTGGACTAAAACTCTTTGTACAGTAGAACTTTTTACCGGGTTAACCCACTTTATGAGGATTTATTTGACGTATACGCAAAGAAATTGACAATTGAAACCCACTGGGTTAACGAAATCCGGTTAAATGTAAACGTACTATAACGTTCGGATCAAGGTCTACCTACAAATATGTCGCATATGACAAGTCACATATTCCCAATTGAAATTCAATTTCATCCGAAATGTCTACAAAAATCCGCGAAGAAAAATTTTGCCTAACATATTTTAGGGTATTTCATAAATTCTTTAACAAAATATTCCAATCCGGAACTGATAATCCTTGAATAAATATTATTTTGGAAAACATTTTCTGACGAATCCTATCTTTTTAACAAATTAACAATTATAACTTCGATAATCCTTGAATAAGCTCTCATAAAAATCTAGTTTTATAAATCTCCTACCTTCCTATAAAAAAATTATCTAAGTGTTTTAAAAACCATTATGAAATATATTAACAAATCAGAATTGTTGCTCTAGAAATAATTTAAAGTAATACAGATCTTATAGATCTTTCAAAAATAATTCAACATAGTATCAAAAGCCCTTCAAAAAATTCGTAAAAATCTTAAAATTTCATTTCTAGTACCTCCACCTGCAAACTATTCTGAAAAATATCAACCCTGTAGCGTATACGTTGCAACAGCACTTATACACCCCCGTACCCCTGAACATTGCATCTAAAAAATCCTACAACTTGCAAAGGAAAAATACCTTGAAAATCTTTTAACTTCCTATATTTCCCTATTTTCCAAAAGAACATTTATCTGCAATTGAAAGAACCAAAGGATATCCTTCCTACCTCTCCCTAATTGAGATCTTTAATTTCCTTTTTATCTATTTTTTTCCACATAACAAAACAATATTCCAAGATATATGACATATAATCTGTTTCCTTTCTTTATCCTTTAAGCAATATATAATCATAATAATAACATATGGCCACTAAATATGTGTGTGTGTGTTAGTGTGTGTCTGTATGTGACAAATTTGCTTTGGGGCGAAATTCTTTGAAACTTCTTTGTTATGCAAAACGATTTTGCCCTCCGTCAGTCCCACCCTCATGCAAAAGAAATGACAGAAGTGAGAGATTCTTAACATGTTCTATGCATGCATGGAGCTGCAACATTTTCTCAGGGTGCATTGGGGGAGAAAAACTAACATAACTACTTCCTTTGCATTCGCATTTTTCTGCTACAAAGGAATTCAAAAAGCTGTAACATCTTTTGGTCACACACACACATACACAGAGGAATAACTGCTTTGCCATTAGGCAAAGGAAGGGAGGGTAAATTCTCTGTGGCCAAGAATTTTCAATTTAAATTCTGATATATAGTTTTCCTGAAGAGGTTTTCCATTTTAAAGTCTGACATATATTTTCCCCTAAGGAGATTTTGAAGAGTTTAAAAAAGGGGAGAAGAGAAATCAATTTTTTTAATTCCTGATTCTTTTTCTCCAGAAATTTCACGGAAACCTACAAATCGTTTTCTTTTCGTAAATTTAATTTCCCTTTGATTTCTTGCCAAAACTTCTGTCTCATTTAACCGCAACAATTTTTTAATTAACTCTCTTACGGCAATCAAATAAAACACAAAATAAAATAAACAAATTCTAATTGCTAAAACTATTTCCTCTTTTGCGTGGCGTTCTCTAATTGCCCTTTTTGAAATGGATTTTATTTTATTCTGTAGTCTGTATCCTTTGTATCCCTTTAACATCCTTCAATTCTGCTGCCATTTTGTATTATCGCACATAATTTAGTTAATTTCTATCACCACAAAGCTGCTTAAGTTTCAAAAATCCAACCAAAACCGATCCCCGACCTCCACCAACCGCCCAGTCCACTATTGTTAAAAGTTCGCATGCTGGCTGGCATGGTGATGGCTGAATGAAATCTCATTATTGACATTAGCAGAAGTGATGTGAGGAAGTAGCAGTAGTAGTAGAAAATTTATAATTTTTCGAAATTAAATTTCCGCAGACCATAACTGAAAATATGTGCGTTGGTAGGGGTGGCGTATACGTGGTGACAGTAATTATACGACCTGGAGTTCTGAAATAAATACAAAAATTAGTTTACTACGTATACGAGGTGTCAATACTTATACGCCCTGGAGTTCAGAAATAAATGTAATAATTCATTGAAAAATATTCTGATAAATAACTACTCTAACTACTCTGCTCGGTTACAGGTTTTTTTACAGGTTTGAAAATTTTTTTATTTGATATCAAAGGCACCATGGTCCATTCTTAAAATTAAGTCACAGTAGCGCATACGTTTTGCCAATGCTCATACGCAGCATAGACCGTAAAATAACCTGCAAACTCCACATTCTGGCGATGTTTTCCAAAGGTTTGCAAAGGAATTGTAATTTCAGAACAATTCTCCAACAAAATCTACTTCTGTTGCCAGATGTGTATGTATAAATTTGAGCATGTTTTAATGTGAAGATATCGTCTATTTAAAAAAAAATCGTGTCCTCAAAAATATTTGAAAATCACACCCTTGGAGGTTTTTAAAAAAAATCTGCTCGTTTCGTATTTAGCTTAAAATCCCAAACTCTTTTAAGTACTTAGGTTTATTTATTAAATCCCATATTTTGTTCTGCTCGGTTAAAAGTTTTACGGCGTATACGTTTTCTCAACACTCATACGCAGCATGGTCTGCAATAAAAATAACCCGGAAATACACTTTCTGACGAAATTTTTCAAATGTAATTTGGAGGTTCTCAAAAAAAAAATCTGCTCGTTTCGTATTAAGCTTAAAATTCCAACTCTTTTAAGTACTTAGGTTTATTTATTAAAACCCATATGTTGTTCTGCTCGGCTAAAAGTTCTATAGCGTATACGTTTTCTCAACACTCATACGCAGCATGGTCTGCAATAAAAATAACCTGACAAAATCACTTTCTGACGAAATTTTTCAATTGTAATACCAAAATATATCTAAAAAAAGCTGACAGTTTCTACTGTTCGGCTATATATTCTATCCTTTCAGTTTAGATCCAGTATAGGTTTTTTAATATTTAATCACAATGTCGTATACGTTTTGTCAACACTCATACGCCGTATGGTATGTTGAAAAATAACCGGGACATTCACTTTCTGGCGATATTTTTCTTAAAAAAACATCCTCCAAAAAATCCTCAAAAAATATACATAGTAAAAAATGCTCGGAATATTTTTGTATATCCTCAAAATATTATATAAAAATTAAACACATTAAAGTTCTTCAAAAACGTTAAATGAAATCTGCCATTTAATTTGTAATCATGTTTAAATAACTATTT